AGAACAAACCATTGTTATACAATAACTTGCCTAATTTCCCTAACCTGCCCAATTAACCTAGTTAAACATTTAAATGTTACTTTAAGCTGTATAGAAGTGTCTTGAAAAATATCTAGTCAAATATTATTTGCTGTCATCATGGCAAAGATTAAATGAATCAATTATTAGAAATGAGTTATGAAAACTATTATGTTTAGAAATGTGTTGAAAAAGTATTTTTTCCGTTAAACAAAAATTGGGGGAAAAAAACATCAGGGGGCTAATAATTCTGACTTCAATTGTACATGCCAAGTAATTCTCATTAGATTATCAGATAGGTTGGGGTTAGGGTTAGTGTAAGTTGACATGTACTTGCAAAGTTTAATGTCTGTTGAAAGAGCAGTATCAACAGATTAAGCAGACAGCCTACCAATACTCAAATGAGAAATCAGCGTGTAGTTGCAATGCAACGATTAGTCAACAAAATGTGCAATAGGGACCATCAAAATAAAGTGTTATCAATATTTCTAGTTAAAAGTTTGAAGATATCCTCTTTCATTGTATTTTTATTCATTCATTCATTTTCTTTTCGGCTTAGTCCCTATATTAATCTGGGGTCGCCACTGCGGAATGAACCGCTAACTTATCCAGCATATATTCTATGCAGCAGATGCCCTTCCAGCCGCAACCCATCTCTGGGAAACATCCATACACCACACACATCCATGTGTGTGTTCTGTGCGTCAGTTTTATCTACTATGTTTTACTTCATGTTTGTTTTGCCTTTAGTAATTTTATGTAAATAATTGTAATGTGTATATGTATTTATTATATTTTCCATGTTGCTAATTTTTAAGCCTCCTGTGGACAGGTGTTGAGAATTAGCAAGTTTGTTAAAACAATTAAACAAATGCAATTAGTTGTCCAGTGTAATTGTGATGTCCATATCAAATAAATAAATAAATAAATAAATAAATAAATAAATAAATAAATAAATAAATACAATTAAATAAATGTTTGGAGCCTTAAATGTAATGTAAATGGAACAATAGCTTTTTTCAGCAACACTTGATCATGGCATTTTTAAATAATTCAGCATGTAATACCTGATGTGTCCACTAGATGTAAGCAAAGTTTCACAATTTTTGTGTCTATCTATCTATCTATCTATCTATCTATCTATCTATCTATCTATCTATCTATCTATCTATCTATCTATCTATCTATCTATCTATCTATCTATCTATCTGTCTGTCTGTCTGTCTGTCTGTCTGTCTGTCTGTCTGTCTGTCTGTCTGTCTGTCTGTCTGTCTGTCTGTTAAATAAAATATTTTTCCATGGATTACAGAGGGACGGTGACCAAAATGTGCTCTTTTCCAGACTAAAAAACATATTTTAATTTGAAAAAGTATTATTATTCACACCCTCTCAGAAATAAAGGTACGCGAGCTGTCACTGGGGTGGTACCTTTTCCAAAGGTACAAATTTGCACCTAAAAGATCCATATTAATACCTCAAGGGTACTAACTAGTACCTAAAAAGAACAAAAGTGTTCCTCTTAAAATTTTTTAGGTTTAAACAATTGTTTATTATTATATGTATTGACAAAATATTAATTATTATTTGTGCAAATAAATCTCAAGATATTTTTTATACAGCACAAGAATTCTGTGAAATTAACAACACTAATAAAAGCAAATAAGAAAAACCAACACTGTACATAATTTTAAAATCTTAAACATTTTTATATATATATTGTTACTTGCATCTAATTTTTTGTTATTTATGTTTTATTTTTATTTTTTTCTTTAAGTTTATTATTGTACTTATTTTTAATTATTGCCCCTGTGTTCACTGTTATACAAATGGAAATTAAAAAAATAAATATTAAAGCTCTATGCCTTGTGAGAAAAACCTGTACGTCATTTTAAAGCCTTAAACTTACCTTTTAGTATGTCAAATTTTAAAATGGATTTGCCATGTCTCAATACTGTTTCTTTTTTTCTTTTTTATTGATTTTATTATTGTACTGCCTTTCTGATATTTTCCTTGCATGTTCATTGTTATACAAATGTCAATACAAGTAATTAAAATAAATAAATAAATAAATAGTTTTATGCCTAATTAAGTGAAAGAAAAAAACATTTTTAAGCCTTAAACTTATCTTTTAGTTCATCACTTTGATAGTTCATCACTTAAAATGGACCTTCATTTTAAAATGGATTTGTCATGTCTGACTACTCTTAATTTATGTTCTGTATGTTCATTTTTATACAAATGGCAATAACAAATTATATATAAACAAAATTGTGCTTTGCCTAATAAAGCCATTAAAAATTTCATAAGGCCTTAAAATGATTTTAAGTAGTTTGCTACTAGCATCTACATTTTTGGATCATTTGTAAATAGTGGACAGTAATTTGGATATTTTTTAAATAAATAAATTCTTTGTAACTTGCACCTAAATTTTAAAATGGTTTTTATCATGTTTTTTTTTTCTTTTTACAATTTTTCCATTTTTTTTATTACTCTTGTACACTGTAAAAAAAATCCTGATTGCCTTAAAATTTTAAGTTGAATCAAATTAAACTTGTTGAAAAAAAAAATCTTGTGTGTGTGTGTGTGTGTGTGTGTGTGTGTGTGTGTGTGTGTGTGTGTGTGTGTGTGTGTGTGTGTGTGTGTGTGTGTGTGTGTGTGTATGTATGTATATATATATATATATATATATATATATATATATATATATATATATATATAGAGAGAGAGAGAGAGAGAGAGAGAGAGAGAGAGAGAGAGAGAGAATTTGCCGGACATTTAAGCAAATGTTTGTAATTTACCGTCTGATATTTTAGGATAAATGTCTTTTTACAGTGTATTTGCATCTAAATTTTAGAATGGGTTTGTCATGTCTTTTTGCTATTTCTTTTCCCCCCTAGAATTTAATAATGGTACTACTTTTCTGTTACTGCTATTATGTTCATTGTTGTACAAATGTCAATAAAAGCAACAAAAATAAATGAATAATGCAATGTCTAATGAAGTGTGCAAACAAATTAGCATCATTTTAAAACAACTTATCTTTTATTATGTAACTACTTGCACCTACATTTTAAACTGGATTTGTCATGTCTTTTATCTCTTGATTTATTTTCTTTGATTGTATTATTGCACTCATTTTGTGATGTTGCCCTTGAATGTTCATTATTATCTAAATGGCAAATAAAATTCATTCACTCATTTTCTTTTTGGATTAGTCCCTTTATTAATCTGGGGTGGCCAAAGCGGAATGAACCACCAATTTATCTATCAAATGTTTAACGAAACAGATGCCCTTCCAGCTGCAACCCATCCCTGGGAAACATCCACACACACTCATTCACACTCCACACAATTTAGCCTATACCCAATCCACCTATACCACATGTTTTTGGACTTTTGAGGAAACCCATGCCAACACGGGGAGGACATGCAAACTCCACACAGGAATGCCAACTGACTCAGCCGAGCCAAGGCTTGAACCGGCGACCTTCTTGCTGTGAGGCGAACGTACTACCCACTGTGCCAACATGCAGCCCATGTCAACAAAATAAATAAATAGCGCTATGACTAAACAAAGCGAGAAAAAAAAAACTGTACATCATTTTAAATCTTTAAACGTATGTTTTAGTTAAAAACTACCAGCACCTAAATTTTAAAATGTATTTCTGATTATTATTTCTTTTTTCTCCTTTAATTTAATTATGGTACTTCTTTTCTGTCATTGCTCTTGTAGGTTTATTGTTATACAAATGTCAATAATAATAATAATACAAATAAATAGTGCTATGCCTAATAAAACGAGAAAATAATCATTTTAAAGCTTTAATCTTTTTTTTTTTTTTTTTTTGTTACTTGCTCATTTGAAAATGCTTTTGTCATGTTTTTTTACTGCCTATTTTCCCTTTAATTTAATTATTGTGTTGCTTTTCTGTCACTAATCTTCAATTCAAACCATAGACTTTTCTCTCTGCTACACTCAGGCAGGTGGTTCCGCAGCATCCGGTCACGCACCAGCCGGCTGAAGGAAAGCTTCTTCCCTCAGGCTATCAGGCTGATGAACACTTAACACACCACACACAGACTCTTCCATAGCCTCACTGCTCACCATCAATATGTAGCATGCACTGCACTTTAACCAATCCATACTTGAAACAATACTGCCTACAACTATGTGGACACCTATTCATTGTATTTGCACTGTATGTATTTTGCACTGTTGTTTTATTTGCACTGTCTGTATTTTGTACTGTCCGGAGCCAGCACCTAAGCTTTTCACTCATCATAGCACATGTGCTGCTGATGATGTGACAATAAAAGTGATTTGATTTAATTTGATTTGGTTTATTTGAACGAAATGTGCACATTATTGCAGTACAATTACGATTTTAGAACTTTTGCATGTTTGTTTTAATACAAATTGCAACAAAAAAAACATGAATTAGAAGAAAAATTAAAACAGCGCTATGCCAGAGCACCTCTACGCAGTGCACACTATTCCTCAGACACACCCCGGCAGTGAGCACTTTCAGAATGCCTGACCGACTTGCGCCGTCCACCAAACTTGACAGCTCCTGCCATCCGCCTCCCAGAGCGCAGTTCCCGCCTCTTCTCCTTTAACCAAGCCTTGGTCTCCCTGTCAATCATTCGTCGCCGTGTGGAATCATTCTAGAGTGCGCTCATGATGTAGGAGGAGACGCTGCTGTCATCTGCAAAAAAAAGTGGCATAATCCATTTCTAAAAGCAACGGGCTGTTTTTCCCCCGTCCAGGATTTCTAAAATATTCTACAGGTGTCATGAATGAGAGCTCCCGTGATCTGAAAACGACACGAAAGGGAATGTTTTTGACGTTATTCAATTAACCGTTGCGAAGCAGCAGTGACGCTTCATTCACACAGCAATCGGACAGCGATTCCTCCTTATTCCCGAGGAGGAATCCTTTTTTCCTCTCCCTCCATTTGAAGGGGCGGATAAGACTGGAGAAGGTGGATGTGGCGACTGTGCGGTCTGTCCCGTTTTCACCGGGACCCGTGTTGGTGGTGAGCCGCCGCGGAACCGTTGTGGGAGTGTCGCACGTACGCGAGGATAGTTTGCCCTGGATTTTTCAATCATTTGCGAGATAAGGCTCCCGGACCTCCTTCTCCTCCTCCTTGTCGTCGTCGTCGACGCTGCCCTCCCTTCCTCATCCTCCCGGTTTTTCTTCCTCTCTCACCTCCGTGCTTTATCCGCGGGGTAGAGGCTCCGTTAACCGGAGAGGACTGAACGCAGCGCGGAGGCCCCCCGGCCCCCTCCCCCACTCTCAAACCATCTCCCTCTCATTTTTCCTCTTCTTCAATATAACAATTTTTTCCTCAAAGAAGTAGGATTGAGGGGAATATTTCATTTTTAGCCGCCCTTTTCCCGCGGCCGCCCGAGCGCAGTGATATTTTTGTCGTTTTTCCTTCTTTCTGAAGCCCCGACGAGGCCGGGCTGTGTACAGTAAAGCAGTGGGGATGACTTTAGAGTCGATGATGGCCTGCTGCCTGAGCGAAGAGGCCAAGGAGTCAAAACGAATCAACGCCGAAATCGATAAGCAGCTGCGCCGGGACAAACGCGATGCAAGACGGGAGCTGAAGCTGCTTCTACTCGGTATGAAATCGCCGTTAACCTCACTCATACACACGCATATATCTACACACACACACACACACACATACACAGCGCAGGCTTTGCTTTGGGTGTTTTTGTTGTGGTGGTTTGCGGTACTAAACACGCCACAATTGTTTTAGCACTCTAAATGCACATCTGAGGTGATTGCGGTTAATATGTGTCATGTAGTTTGCTGTATATTAATGTTAGCGAATTGTGCTAAGGCGTTAGCGCGTTAGCATATGCGGGCCGAATGCTGGACAGGGCCTGGCATGCAACAGCAGCACACACAAATCTCAGCATGCTCTCAGTTCTTGTGCATGTTCATGTCAGATGTCTGCGAGAACGCACTGCTTGGTTTGTTATTATTAGATATATTTTTCTAGCTGTCAGTTTTGGTATGAGTCAACCCCGAATGGTCTGTTGTGTGATATGCATGATGCACTGCATTGAGCTGTTGAGGAGTATGTGCAGTATAGGATCACTGCACTGTACTGCACAGCACATTGAATGTGGTTTACATGTGACTACATGAATCCTGTCAGATTGTAGTATTCAAATTGTAGGCAAATCAGGCTTTGAGGGTTGAGAGAGTTTACTGCTTTAGTGATAAAACTTGCTCACTTTTCTTCTGTAGGTGAAGCTGGTGTGTTTCCCTTGATAATATTTAAATTAATGAGAGAAAAAAAATCAATTAGTGTCTTAAGTATCTGCCTTGAGTGCAAAACATCAATCAATGTATGCATCCTGGGAGCGTTAACACGTCATTCTGTGCCACCTGTCAAATTTGGGTCACTTTTAACATTTATTCCTGGGTTGAATTATCTCAAAATGGTGGACAGTTATTGCCTTATGAGGGCGTGAGTGCTCTGCACACTGGACTCTGGTTACTCCCAAGGAAAGAGAATTGGATGCTTTATCAAGCTGTAAAGTTGGGTTGCTGTTCGGTCTATGACTCAGTGTGTTGGTAAGCAGTGATATCTGACACGGACAGCCTTCATTCATTTCCTATTAGTCAGGACTGTTTTTCCGCTTGAAACCACAAAATGAGCTGCTCGTATTAAAATGGATCATACAGTAGGATGAAACGCTGAGCTGATGAGAAAGACAGACAGGCAGAGATGGTCAGAAGTGAGCGCTTTGGTGAATTCATAATGAAATGAAGTTCGATTGACTTTTCGCTAAACTCCGCCCATCTTGGTTACAGTTGCTAACTCAGAAAAAGGTCTGCAGAACCTCCTTTGGGAATGAACTGAAGATTTCTGTGAATGATATTTTTTTAGTAATGCATGCTGGGAAATGCTTGTCATATTGAACAGTTTTCTGCCATGTTATGCTCATTCTAGAATTTATAGGACTATGTGCTTTCCTGCAGGGATGCATGCATTCAAGACACTTTAAAAGCTCTGCTGTTTGATCCAATTGAAGGTATTCCAGTGATTCCTCTAGGATTTTTTCCAGCTGTGCCGGCAGATCTTTTACACAAATCTACCAACTACCTATGGCATTATTTCAATGACAAATGGAGAAATGTCGTGAGCGCAGTATCACAAGTCGAGATCGCATTTACGTAATACAAGCAGGGCTCGAAATTGCGACCATTTTGGTCGCATATGTGCCCGAAATTTTATCTATGCGACCTCAAAATATATTTGGGATAAGGGTGTCACGATCCTCCAAATTCTTGATTCGATTTTCGATTATGAATAATTAATTAATTAATGACCAATTAATTATTTGTAGCCTACCGTTTAAACTACCTGACCTGCATGGTCTTTGTTTTACCCATAAACAAATCATACAGTAAATGAATAAAGGCAAGATACACACATAATTACCACCTGTCAATCAGTTTTTTCTGCGGGACTCGTGAATAGGCAGTGATCTGTGTCGTTATAATGGCGTCTGTAAAAAAGACGCACAACCAACAGGAACCAGCCAACAGTATCTGAGGTGTTCGCTAAAATGACAAAGTACAAGTGACTGAAAGATTGAAGCAGTCCTCTGACTGCCTGGACCTGCTGTCTCGAGCCCATGGCTGTGTGTGTGCGCGTCTGTGTCTGTGTGGTCACGTGATGTGCATTTTCAGAGGTAGAGAGGAAGGAGGGCTGCTCAGAAATGCTACACGCCACTGTGGATGTCAAACCGTTGTCGTTCTAAAATGCCATTTAAAAACAAAGACAGTGTAAACAGGGCCTGAGTGTGTACTTTTCGCGAGCGGATTTGCAACGGGGGCTGGCGGAGGATCGCGATGCCGGTGTTGTCTATCGGACAAACCGTACGTAATACGTACATAGCAGAGCTTGTTGTTTTTTTGTCGACAACACGAACACTGTCAACATAACTCACTGGAAATCCAAAATGCTTCCACACCGGCGACTTCATTGAAAGAGGAGAGGGTTTAAGTTCTGTCGAAGGATCTCCTGCTTCTGCAGTTTAACAAGCACTTCAACAAGCCTGTTTTTTTCCCGCTTGGCAAGCAAAGCTGACGTGACATGGGGGCGTGGCAGCATCGACGATTCTATTTTTTGATTCGATAATCGAAATTGAGCATAAATTTCGATCGATTTCGATTTGACACCCCTAATTTGGGAGCATTTTGTTGAGTGCATAAAATTGTTGTGTGTTTTTACTGCAAAATGTTCACCACATGCGCGGATTTGGGAGACATTCATGCAGAATACATCTCTGCAATTGAAACGCGAAACGCAGCGCTCAGGAATGATTTTAAACAGTTGTCAAGTCAACTTGCTGTAGTAAACAAAGCCAAGTCCGTAATGGTTGCCCCGCCTTCGCCCACTGCTCTAGCACTGAAATATCAGCTGTCAATCAGTGAGTCAATGCCTTCTGGCTTGGATGACAGAGAGAGCTACAACTGCGAAAAATTGTAAAGCGCTGAAAATGAGAATGGAAGATGAGTGGTTCAAACTCGATTATTCTGAGACGGGAACTGGCGGACGTGCAACAACTTTAACCATGAGTTAAACACAAAACAAAACTTTCTATCCGGAGGTCCTTCACGGGACTCCACACTTGTAAACAATCGCTCCATCGGGCTCGCGCGGCTCTCAGTCCCACCCACACTCGTCAGCGCTAGCAGAGCCAACCAATTACAGGGTTTGCGCTACACGTCGGTGCGCGTCGGCGAGGGGTATCCATAGGGCCAGGTGAAATCTGCGGACGTTTTTTGCTATTTCTGCTGAGAATTTTGGTAAAAATCTGCGGGTTTCTGCGGAATTATTTTGTGAGTATCATAACTAAAACCTTAATATTTAAAATAAAAAATAATAACTTTTATTTATTATTTAAAATGCATGTCCAATTAGATTCCTTTTATTTGGTAATTAAAGCAAGTTTGTTATATAATATATCTAGTAAAAGACAGAAAATAATGCCGTACACACTGCATTGTACATAAATCAGATGAACATTTTTACATTAGTCAATAATATTATGGAAATGAATTAAAATAACTGAATAAGTATAGATTTACACACATTTACTCAAGTAAATAAATAGAATTAATGATGGGCTAAAAATCTGTGGAAATCTGTGGAAACTCAGATTTTGGATGGGCCTAGCTATGCGTCCACGTTTATAAGAGCAGTGTGAACATACATTCATTCATTTTCTTGTCGGCTGGGGGTCCATTTTCTTGTTAATCTGGGGTCGCCACAGTGGAATAAACCGCCAACTTATCCAGCATGTTTTTACGCAGCGGATGCCCTTCCAGCCGCAACCCATCTCTGGGAGTCATCCACACACACATTCACACACACACACACACACACACACTCATACACTACGGACAATTTAGGTTACCCAATTCACCTGTACCGCATGTCTTTGGACTGTGGGGGAAACTGGATCACCCTAAGGAAACTCACGCGAAGGCAGGGAGAACATGCAAACTCCACACAGAAACGCCAACTGAGCCGAGGTTCGAACCAGCGACCCTCTTGCTGTGAGGCGACTGCACTACCTACTGCGTCACTACCTCGCCTCGCAGTGTGAACAGCCATGCAAAAAAAATAAAAAATTCAGATCTGAGAAAAAAAATCAGATTTAAGCACTAAGACTGGCAGTGTGAACTTAGCCTATATTATCTTTACACATGTGATATTTTTCCTGAGGTGATTTGAACCAAAATACACCATGACACTCAATCAAACATATCTACAATGATAAGGAACATGGTTACTTACTGAGTTATTAACGCACAGCAATACCACATGAAGAAAGGACGGACTTTGGAGGAATAAACAGTGTGAGGAAAGCTCCAATATAGTGCACTGGACTAGTCTGAACAAGTTCCGCCCAAACATACGCAAGGCAGGCAGCTCAGTACAATTATGTCATTTATCGGCTTAAAGATATCGGCCTAATTTAGACATCGGACTGATAACGATAATCTTAAAAAAAGCCTTTGTCGGCCGATAACGATATGGCCGTCGTTATATCGTGCATCCTTAGTGATTATGCTTGGTCTTTCTTTGGTGCTAATAAAACTACTACATCAAACCTGCAGCTCTTTTATGAAATTATAGTAAATTGCATTTTAAATCGAAATTTTGATCAGATAAATCGCAATTTGTGTTTTCCCCAAAATGTGCAGCCCTATTTCTTCTCATGAAATGTATCAATTTTAAGTGCATTGATACTTCTTGTTTTTAGAAATTAAAGAGCTGCATGATTCTAGTAAGGTCATAGTTGTGGGTTCGATTTCTTTTTTTTTTTCTTTTTTTTTTCTTTCCTCAGTTAACTTTGGGTTAAAAGCTGCCATGTTCAACACATTCACATGATCAAGTAAGCAAAATGATTGTATACAAGTTTTTCATCACAACTGTAGTTAAGTTCTGATGAAGAGGAGCGGCTCTGAAACAGTGAATGATTCTGAGGCTCATACGTGGCTCTGTGACCTCTGTAAAAACACACGAGTTTGACCTTTACCGCTATGAGAGAATTAATAAGTGAAAGTTCTCTCCCTGTCTATTCAGTAT